TCTCCTCAGCATCACCTGCATCACTTCCAACAGCTACTTCATGTTGATCACCTTTCAACTTTGCTTTCTTACGTTTCTTCATCGATTTCTTGGGAGATTCACCATCGGATCGTCCAACGGCGTCGGAAAGATCCTCAAGCTCGACCACACTTTCTCCATCAATGACCAAAAGACCTTCGCCCTCTGAGGTTGAGCATCCATCATCAAGAACTGCCATGATCTTTTCCACGCAGGATGATCTTAGCTTTCTCTTCTCTTGATCGACACTCACATAAGGAATATAGTCTTTGACAGTCATTTCGATGATGTTGCCATTGGGGTCTAACATGAAAGGAGTTCTCCCAGTTGGCCATACGAATGAGTAGCCAAGGTCGACGCACCGCTTACCCATGGAGATCACGGAAGGAGTGTCTTCCAGGATGTGAGCTTCTGCTGGTTCGTTGAATGCCTCGAACTTGATACTTGATCGTTTGGTCGAACATGTTACACCGTTTGCTGTATGGAAGTTGACGACTTTATCATCATATGTTGGGAGATCCATTCTACTTATTCGTGTGGATGAGATGAGATCATGACCACTTCCAGAATCCAATATGAATCTCTTATCTCTTTCTTCAACAGGAACAGTGATACACATTGTGTTGCCCCTTTTACCATATCGACCCTCGATATGCTGAACATAGTTCTCCACGAAGACTTCCCTGGATACCTCACCGTCCTCGATGTCGAACCTGATCAATATGTCCAGACTGGGGCCGACGATGACTAGGACTTCATCAATGTCACTGTACTCACCCTTCTCATCGATCAGGATAGCCATTGCCTTCCCTCGGCTCGATGCTAGTCTGCATGAATAAGACCATTGCTCATCTTGCCTTATCTGATCGGTGGGCTTACCAACTTTACCATGACCTTTGGGGATGGTCTGGGATTTCCGGCTGCACTTCACGAAGTCCTTCTTCACATACGTTTGGATGCAAGTCTTGGACTCATCGAATCTGACCTTCTTCTTGACGACATTCGATGCAACCTTGTGGAATGTCCCTTCGTCATCACTCCATTCATGGACAAGTGCAGGAGTAGCCTTTGAGCTTGATGCTTCGGTGTTCGGAGCAGTGTTGAATAGATGAGGATCGTGACGTTTGTTGCATTTGTCTCCATATCGGCACTTGCCCTTAGCCCAGTGCCAGCATGGTTCATCAACCTTCTTGGTCTTGTTCGCTGGAGATTGACTTCTCGGAGTTCCTGGCTTTCGACCATTACCTTTCGCGTTCTTGTTCGCATCAAACACCTTTTGGTCGTGACTGTATTCACAATCTTTGCCTTTTCTGCATGCTTTCTTGATGAAATGGAAGTGGCATGGGATCTTCTTCTTGGATCTAGGACTAGCACTTCGGCTGTTTGGTCGACCATTTCCTTTCCCTTGGCCTTTTCCTTTTCCTTTTGCATGCTGTTTTGGTTGAGGTGATGGTAGAACTGGAGCTGCTTCAGCCTTGGCCTTTGCCTTAGGTGCTGCCTTCTCCTTGGGAGTGGCTTTAGCCTTCGCTTTCGGATTGGCATCTGGTGCAGCAGCAGTTGGATTCGGTGCAGGAGCAGTGGGTTTACCACCACCTGCAAAGTCTCTTGCGTACTTCTCTCTAGCGGCCACATGCTTGTCTTCTCTGATTCTAGAGATGTGCCTTTCGATGACGTCCAACAGGTAGCGATAGCTTCGTCTTTGATCTCCTTCAATCCATGACTCGTACTGCTTGATGTCGAACATCATGAGACTCGAATTTCGAATCTTCTTGTATAGAGCGTCACGAAGCCAATCGTCAGGAGGTACATCATCCGGCATCATGTTTGATACCATCTCCATCCATTTCTCGTAGAACACTTCCAGGTTTGAGTCGCCGAGATACTTCATCGATACGATGTGCTCCATGGTGAAGGCTGTCTCTCGTTGACCTGGGGTTCTGAAGTGTTCCAGAATCATAGCCAAAATTTCTCGTCCCATAACATAGGTTCCCCTCCGACTATGACTCTGTGTTCTCAATCTTAGTTTAATTGCTACATGACGAGCAACATCACCGGCTTGGGCTATAACGTTCGACAATGCAATTGACAACTTAGCGTCGATTGACTGATATCGTTGCCCACCACTATCATTCAATAGCTCAATGTCAGGATTTGGTCGGATAGCCGGCTGTAACCATGCTTCCCATGCAGCTTTGTCTCCATCATTCGCGGCAAGGACAACACCCTTGATGAGATCTGATTGCCAAACCCCAAGGTTCTGTTGCTTCGGCCATGGGCTAACATAGACTTTGTCAGCCTCCCGTCTTGACATTCTCGGTACTTCTTCTGCCGTGTACGCTGCTGTGGAGATATCATCTGCTGAATCGCGTTGTGATCCTCGAACCGAAGGCAAACCAGGAGGTTCTGGAGGTGGTCCCGGACCGTCGGGCCCGAAAGGGTCAGGAGGCCCATCAGGGTCAGGCGGACCGCCCCATCCGCTCGGAGGCTTGTAATAGTCCTTCTCAGTTCCATCGGCGATCTTGTTGTCAACTTCTTTCAGCAGATCAGTGATTCTTTTGTTCGATTGAGAAGGTTGCTGTTGAGAAGATCCAGCATGTCCGCGGTAAGATTGAGCAGCATTTGTCTCGTAGGTCAACTCCTTGTCGATCTGCGATACCCAAGATTTTAGGATAGCGTTCTCAGAGTTAGCCTCACTCACCTCATTCTCCAGTTTGTCGATGACCAGTCTTGATGCGAGATCATAGTTGGGGATACCTGCCGAATAGGGAAGCGTATCAGGGCTAACCCTGGACATAGATATTTCAGAATCCTTGAGACTCTTTCTCAATTCATCTAAGTGACGTTTCATGTCAATGATCTCAGAATTCTTGATACCAATCTTTTCATCCCTATCCTGAATTTCCCCCATGAACATGCATGATCTCTCATATTGTTGAACACCACTAGCCAATTTCATTTTGCGCTCACTTTCTAGTTCAGATCTTAAAGTTCGGACTTCAGCATTGGAGAAGGACGACGCCCCTACATCCGCAACTTCAGTCAATCTTTCTTTTAACAAAATGTTCTCTTGTAAACATTCATGAACCTCATGGTCTAGATCCTGAACCCTGATTTGAGCAATTTTGGCTTGGTTCCGTAGATCTTCAACAAGCATCTCATCAGGGCCACGACCGTCGGTCGTAGTGCCCTGAGTTAATGATCTTCGCAGCTTCACGTTCTGCTTTTTGATCTCGTCCTTCAACTCACAGTTCATCTCCTGCTCGTTGGCATGGAGCTCTTCATAGTGCTCTGCCCTTGCGATCGAATTTGCACTAGCCTGTGATTCAAGCCTCAGGTGTGATATCGCTTCGGCCTCATGGTTCCTGTATGATGCAATTCTTCTGACAGTATCATGTTCAGTGTTTCGGTGCTTCAGATCACTTTCCAATTTGGCCTGATTTGCCTCGAAAACCTTCTTTCTAGATTCTCTAGTGATCTCTTCAATACTGCTTTCATACAACTCGGCCTGTTTACGAGACTGAACTAGAGCTTCACTCAATAGCTGATTCCGCTCAGACAATTCATGAACTGCAATTGATTGTTGTTGGCTAATCATTTCAAGTTGATTGCTTGAGAAGGATGCCATTTCGGATCGATTACGATATTCCATGATTGAGTTCTGGAAATCCGTCTGCATTTCTTGACCTTCAGTGTACAATCGGTTGGCAATATCGGTAGTTAAGACATTGGTCTGATGAAGTTGTTGCAGTCTTGCCTCCGTATTACCCAATAGTCCTTGAAGGTGATGTACTTCATCCTTGTACTCTTCCTGGATCTCCATACCGCGTTGATGGATTCGTCTTGCACCATGTTCCATCAGGGCACCTCGGCGTTCAAGGTCTTGGATGCGTATTGTTGCACCTTCGTCTTCCTGAGATGCTACCATTAGTTCTGCTTGATATTCTGCAACCTCACTTGCGGAACATGACAATCTATGATTGAGTGCATTGACCTCATCAAACACATTCTGGTTGTGTTCCCGAAGATATTCAGTGAATCTGATCTCGATGTCATGAATCAGTTGATCTCTTGATGCAGCATATGCTTCCATGTTGTTCAACTGATTACGTAAGGATTGACATTGTGCCCGTAGTTCTTCTATCATAGCAATAGGTTCACTAGCCACAGAAGTATCCGTTGATCTCCTCTTAACGCGAATGTCCCCGGTCCTCTCACCAATTCGGTCGGTTACGGCCCTGGTGGATCTGTCCCTTGGGGTGGTTCGTCCTCGAGATGGTCGATGCCCTTGACGGACAACATCACTTCGAGCACTGTTTCGAGAAGATCTTGGTGTACTTTGGGTGGATATTCTTCGTCTGTTTGATGTAACTTGCCATCCGGACTGTGTAGTTCGGGTAGAGCGTATCCCACCACTGTCTGCCGTGTCGCCAGGGGAAGATTGAGTGACCTCCTCGACCGGCATAGCAGTGTTCTCATTGAAGGTAAACTGCGTGTTGCGCGAGTCTCCGCTGCCGCCCTGCATCTTTGCGATGGTGAGCTGATTGGTCCTTTGCGTCCACAATCTTTAGCTCAGACGGCCCGGCTACCAGCACGCAGGTACTCCTCTTCCGACGGAAGAAGTGAGCCCTTACGGCTGATAACCTGTGAACAATTTGATCCTTGTTCTGGATGTTATCTCGATCAGTTAGTACCCTTGTTACCGGTAGCCGATGATTGCCATGCGGAGTCACGCGACGCAGCCCTTTTCTCCATACGCTTGAGCCAATGTATGGCGGTAATTGTCAGATTGTAGATGTTACATGTTACACATGCACTACTACTTCGTTCCCTTTAACATATACATATGTGAAAATAAATCATATCATGTAGATTAGATACATGACAGTGAATACGTGTGATATCAATACACTAAACGAGTATAAATACATACTATCAATGCTATGCGTACGAACGGGACGCACTTGCTCTCTGAGCTTCCACACTGGCTCCGCACCACCCCTGGCGCCCTGGCCAAGCGTCAACTGGCATCGATTGGCCATAAAAACCGAGTTTCTTCCAAGTGCATTTCGATATTTGCAAACATACATGGTTGTAGATGTTGCAAACACAATTCACAACCATTCAATTTGGCAGTCTAAATGCTGGGGTCTGCAGAAGACCGTTCTATTCTGTTAAAAGTATGCTGAATATTGCCGTTGAAGATTTTAGTGTATTTTAGTGTCTTACTGGACGAATTCCAGGGGGCTCGGTCACCCTGATTCACCCAATTGATTCAAATTTAAGAGGTAGATCATGGTAGATCAGCATCATCAAATTTGATAATTCAGACTCCAATGCTAGAATTTGCATTATGCTGTAGGCAACAGTTTTTGGCGCTTGAAACAATGACAATACTGGCAAAACTGTTGAGGTTGGGTTTCACTCGGTCTCATGTTCCATCACCCCTCTTTCCTGGATATGAGTTCTCTTCATTTTGGAGAGTATTTACACGCAAACGCCGCTGTTGGCGTACTTGCGTCAAACAACGAAGGCTTTTTTCTGACTCCTAGCCAAAGCGCATGTTACTTGTGTTTTTTGGATGTTCTTGCACCTTGTGAGAAGTTTCCATGGTGCGTGCTTTGCCCTGACTAGTCAGTTACACTTCCAACCTCTTGGACAATCAGTCTGGAAAGGATGGGTACCTACTTTGCATTGCATGTGAAACCTCTGCTTCTCTGGTTTCTCTAGTCTTCTCTTGCGAGTCGGTCAATTCATGTCAATTCACGTCAATTTGCATAGGCACTATCACTAAGGCACTTCCAGCACTTCCAGGTACAAGCCAGGCACCTCCTCAGTGTGCTCCACCTTTGCACGAACGTATTGCCTCGGGAGTAGATTAGAATCACTTCCACATGAAGATTTTGATGTTGCACCGTTGCACCGTTGCACCTGGTGAATCCTACAAAGATTTTCCAAATTTGTTTTGGATCACTCATCCTGGATTTTGGGGAGATTGACATCGGATACCATGGATCATCTTTCGTTGCAACCGCAACCCAAGAGGTCCTGCGATCCCACCCCGAGTATCTCTACTCAGGCGTCGTCCTGAACAAAAAAAAATAAATTGAATTTGGTTTATATAAAGGTACTGTAAGCTGATAAAATAAAAAAAGAATCAAAGTTGCATCACTCAGCTTGGGTCCACACGACCGGATCTCGTCCAACACCTGTGACACATCTCCACAGTACCAACAACAGCCCAGGCTTATGGCCCTTGTCTGTCAGTTTCCCCAAGTCACATCAGTCATTTTGGTCCAATCTTTGTCGTCTCCTCTACTGACACTGCAGGAACATGCGGGCTATATAACCATGGTCGTATAATTGAATTTGCGGTGATTTACAACAGAATGTGCCCGACAAAAGGCACATTCTAACGAAATATCGTCACAGTGAAACATGAATTGAAACATAGAGTGAAATGATTCATCTTTTCTTGATCCAAAGCACTTTGTCGTCGATGGCCAAACAGCACCGCTCTTTGCATCAGATCCTTACCCACACAGCGCCCTTGATGCACCCTCCAGACCTGCTTGAGGTTGGAGGAACGGTTGTACAACTCCATAGCATCCGGGTGGAAGCGCTTGAGTAAGCTTTCATGGCTAATCCCCACCTCGCAGGATGCTTAGTCTCTCGTAGGTCAAGGGGACACCAATGCCCGAGGTGCAGCATGGTGAAATGGTTTTATCATGTTTTATCTGTCTACCACAGCCGAACACACCCGGTCCTTCAATGTTTTATTTCATGGTGCAAGTGCTGTGCTACAGGGCTTCGAAGGTGACCAATGATCAGTTTAAGTTTGCTCCTCTTCGACTGCAACCGCTATCACTATTCCTAGTGTTGAGGGACCCTGCAACCCAGCTATCTTCCAGAATATCACATATTCCCATTGAAGCTTTTGTAATCGGGTAATACTTGATCCAAGCAAAGAAGCTTCTTCCCGCTTCCATGTCAGTGCAAACCAACAGGACATACACTTTGTGGTTTTGAAAGCTAGTGCAGCTAGTGCTCCTAGAATCGCAGTGCACTTTGGGCCTTCAGATCTTTGAGGATCATTTTTGCAATCCATTTCTGCTCTGTGGCCTTAGACCAAAACAAAGGAAACCGCAGCAATGGAGAGCCACGATCTACAAGGCCTTTAATGCAAGCGAAAGGCAAGCCATGGATGCCATGGATGCCATGGATGCCATGGTAACTTTACGACTGGAGTTTGAAAACCAACTCGCCCAGCGGCAGAGGCTCTCCGGGCAACCTCCAACAACTGATTTCGTTTCTCCTGGATGCAAAGCCAGAGATGTGGAAAGTGAATCGGCTTTAAATGTTTTAATAATTTATACTATATAATTATATATTAAATGTGTTCAAGTGAAAGTGCAGAAAGAGAGAGTGGAGTGAAAACACCTGATCCGCGACATGATCTCCGGCATCAAACCGAGAAATGGATAGTGCGACTGACTCCGAGACCCGCGGCCCGCGGCGCGTGGCGCGCCGTAGCATCGGGCGCATTGTGGATCTTCGTCAAAGCCAGGTTCACATCGCCCAAGGTCAGCGTGGAAGCAGCTTTTGGAGCGCGGCCCTCCACCACACTGAAAAGCACCGACGCGAAGTCCCCTGTGACGCACTGAAAGCAATAAACGCAATAAACAAATGGGAAGATCTGCTAACTAATGTCCACAAGAACATGCATTCAATTCACATCTGCGATATTCTGCAAACCTGGTTTTCTTTTCCTACAGTTCAACACTTGGAATCAGAAACATCCCATTTCTTTGGGAAAAGTAAGTTTATTAAACTTTCGGGTCAAAAGCATCGAGGAGTCTACGATCAGTGTAGAACCTGGCCTGCAGCGCAACGATATCCCTCTTGTAGAGCTGGGTCCTTCCACTTCAACAGTCGTTGCCTGGAGTTTCTGGAATTTGAAGGACAGTTTGTCAAAGAGATAGTTTTTGAGAGGATTGGTTCCGACAAAAAGCAAAATATCTGTTTTCCCCAACTTCGACCTGGTTTAGCACTTGGGGCAACTGAGGCCGTTGTGTGGTACAGATTCCCAAAACAAACTGGGTAGGACTGGGCGAAAAGAAAGTTCTGGGTGGTGATTTTTGAAGTTGTTCCTCTATGTTAAAATGTGTTCAGACCATCTGCAACTTGGCCTCTGCGCTTCCGGTAACGAAAGCATCTCTCCAAAGAGTTTTGCCAAGTTCGACTCCTTGGTGTTCCCGGCCCGCACTTTTATCGTGTCACCCCAATAAAAAGGTTCCAAAAGTTCAAATGCGGTTGTAATTGATTTGCAGTTCAGGCACTTTAAGGCCATATGCGCCACATTCATGGTCTACGCCTGAACCAGCGACCATGCAGAAATGGGTTTTCATGTTGAAACATCTAGTGATAATCAACCCAGTTTTGCAACCCAACGGCAGTGTTGCAGGGTTTCCGTTCCTCTTCCGTTGAAACCAAGCAAACAACACGTCAATCCCACATCCAAAAGTTGAAATCCAACACGCACTGCTGTTGCGAAGAATGGCAGGAAGGATCTGTGCAAGTTGCTGGAAAAGGGGAATTCCAAACACAATGTCAATCTAAAGTCAACAAAATGTGTCATCATCATTGAAAAAATTGTTTAATGCGAAGCAAATCGAATTTTTCCTCATCCAAAACATGAGTGTGGAATGCAGTTGTTCGTACATAACTAAATGCATGAAATAAGCAGGCGTATTTATATAAATTATATTGAATGTATGTTCCACTAACACAGGCCTAATACAACTCCACAATCCCCAGGGATTGCGGCAATTCCAGGAATCATTATTAGTATATACAGTATATATTTCAAATATGTAAAATACATGTGCACATACACTATAAAATTGTTATTTTGGAATGTTTTGGAATTGTTCGCGATAACCAAGAACGAATTAGCACCTGGCAAAAGTAACCTCAGCAGTGGGAAGAGGTCCTCAGGTTCAGGGTTCCAAATCTATCGAACAAGAAAAAAAGAAATGTTTGCATGTGTGCAGCATGAATGCCTTCAATTTGAGACAGATCCAAAACTGCGTGGGATACAAGATTAAAGTCCGCATTCAGCGGAGATTTGGTTCTACAACATGGTAGTGCAGAAACATCTGCAAAACAAAAAAAATAACCAACTCAAGAGCTGAGGAGCGCAGGTGCCATCAAATCGTTTCAAGAAGTGTTCAACAGCTTGCAATTTTTCGGTTTTCCTCGGTCCCCACACCAACAGCGAAACAAATACGTGTGTATGGAAGGTGTGCGAGCATCTGATGGTTTTGGACCCGATTTGAACCTTGTATAATCCTACTGATTGCATCTGTGACCACGGATCTGTTTTCCAACACCCATTACCATATTGCAACCATTGTCCACTTTACATGTCAAACCCGGTTTCTACTGAAAACATCTGGCACGCATGCAGTTGTCAACAACTGTAAAGGTTTCACTTGTTCATTGATGAATGTCTGTCCATCTATTTGCAGGCAAGAATCTTTTTGAGGTGCAAGGATTCTAAGAAGAGGCAAAACCGATGAAAACTCTCTGCGTCGCATGATGTCAGCGATGCCGACATCAAAATCCCGTGATCAGCATTGCCAAGCACAGAATTACACCAACAAATATCAAGAATGTTGTTGGGACGATTAACCCCACCAAAGTTGGAACAAAAAGATGGCGTTGAGTTTTAATTCATGTGCAATTTATAAACATGGGTGTTTTTGATGGGATCTTGCCAGAAAAAAATCATCACAAACAATTGATGTAAAGCACCGGATTGCAACACACACTGAAACCAACCTGACAATGGCGGGCGGGCGAAAACTCGAAACAATACAAAATGACAATATTTTTTCCACTTCTGTCAGGCACAAAACCAAATTGGTGGTAGTAGTAGTAGTAGTAGTAGTAGTGGTAGTAGTGGTAGTAGTAGTAGTAGTGGTAGTAGTAGTAGTAGTAATAGTAATAGTAGTAGTAGTAGTAGTAGTAGTACCACCAGCTGCTTCCATAGGATCGAATCTTTGGTCTCGCAAATTTCTTCTCGCCACCAGCTACTTCCAAAGGATCAAATCCATCGTCGGTTCTGCTCATAGTTCCCTCAGTGTGCTTCACTCTTGTTCAAGGTGGACATTCATTACATAACTAGTTGTATCACATACAAGAGATATAACAAACCATAAAACGCAAACGCACAAATATATATATATATAAAACCGTTCAAGTCAATTACAAAAAACATTCAAATAATCGACAGCTTCAATTCCCCACGAAATCACTCGCGCTTATTCAGTATTCTCTTTTTGCATTGCTGGATAATTTGTCAAGCGAAGATCTGACCATTTGATCCAAACAATGTTGTCAATGGATCTCAATTCCCCCCTAATGTCTCCGACATAAAGGGGGGCACACGCAATTGAAATTCGTGAATTCATGAATTCGATATTGAAAGTTGCTACGGCGAATGCAACGGATGCTCTGGTCTGGAGGTTCGGATGTCAAAGTCGGACTGAAGACACTACGGAGTGTCACTTGTAAGATCTCGAATGCTCGGAATCGGAAAGCCCGAGAAAAGAACTGCACTACAATAGGCAAAATGCTGCACACGGCATCGAAAATCATCTGATGATGATACAGAAATTCGAAAAACATCGAAGTTACAAAGAGTGATATCACCAAAAGAGGTGTGGTGGGGGGTAAAAATAAAGTTGAAAGCAACAGCAAACGCAGTTATGTTATGAATGCCACCTTGAGCCAAAATGTAGTGGTCATAATATATCATGAAATGCCCCCTACAAACAACACTGAACGAGTACAGTAATAGTTCAAGGTAGTTGTATCACATACAAGAGATATACCAAACCATAAAACGCAAACGCACAAATATATATATATATATATTTAAAACCGTTCAAGTCAATTACAAAAAACATTCAAATAATCGACAGCTTCAATTCCCCACGAAATCACTCGCGCTTATTCAGCATTCTCTTTTTGCATTGCTGGATAATTTGTCAAGCGAAGATCTGACCATTTGATCCAAACAATGTTGTCAATGGATCTCAATTCCCCTCAAAAGACTATTGACAACTTGAATGGATAAGACCGCCAACACAACCCCTCATAACAAGTGGGATTATCCAGCAATTCGCAAAAAGAAAAATTGGCAACGGTTTGCAACTACGACCCTGGAAGTTTCCAAGGAATCCATGCGGATGAGGGAACAAGTTTCGGCATCCTGTCAAGTTTCCACAAGGTCGAAAGCTGGAGTTCGATACGATCTTTGAGAAGAAAATTGCAAGGCGGGTCACCTGAGTTGGTCCATCGACTGAGGGCATCTGCATAAGTATTGTCCTTGCCTGGAATGTTGTTTACTTCAACTTCCACATGGGATGTGGAAATGAGCAAGCATAGTTTTTCCAAAAACAAGGCTAGGGGTAAATTGGTCGTAAAGAATTTATTGGACACGGCCTCGGCGCCGGTGTTATCAGAAAGAGTAGGAATCTTAATGGGAATGCGAGCGCCGGGAAATTGTTGAATTGTGATAAACACCAAAGCAATTTGAGCCAATGTCTCAAGGGATGCGATATTTTTTTGTAAATCTTCATGGATTGGAATATTCAGTGATTTGAAATCGGAATGCTGCAATTGAAGGCTGAACCAAGTGCATGCGCCGGACGGCAAAAAGATGGCACCACCGATGCCAGCGTTACTACCAGCTGCATAGGCATCAGCAACGCATAATCCCTGCCAAACAGGTTTTGGCCACATTGATCGCACTGGAGAAAGATTTTGAAGCCATTGAGAATACAAATGCAAAATCCGAATGGGTGATGATGACAGTTTCCTTTTTAAGGAATTAGGGTCTCTAATTCTTAACCAAATACGTTTATCGGAAAGTAAACAATTCTGCAAATCCAACTTGGTAGACACTGCATGGTGTCGCACTTGCACCAAATGGCCTTGAATTGGGATCGCAGTATGCTGAGGTTTGGATGTGAAAATGAGGTCATCAGAAATGCAAGCAAGGATTTGATCCCAATTACCGGGATCTACTGAAAACTGTGAAGCCGGAATGGAATGAAGGTCTCGGTACAAATTATGCAGCCAAATGCGCATGTCCGGCCATAGCTGAGTAACCCATAAGGCTAGTCCTAAAAACTTCTCCAAAGTTTTGCGAGAACAATGGGATGAGGATTGCAATTTTTTGAGCAAGTCCAAAAGTGTCTGGCGTTTGGACTCGGGCAATGAAACGAAACCTGATCGGATATGGAATGACCAACCAATCCAGACAATGCATGATCCAAGCTCACATTTTTTCCATGAAATCGGTAAACCTGTCAACAAGCAAAGTATCGCTATCACTGCAGCACTAAGTCCAATTATTGTTGTTTCTTGAATCCAAAGAAGGTCAACGACGTACAAATTAAAGGACCGGATAACCCCACAAGTCAACTTCTTCCAATAATGAGCTTCAAAGGTTGTAGCGGGGACGGGGAAGGAAGGAAAGACAAAGGATGTGGTGAAGGATCGAGAAGTTAAAACAGTTTTGTGTGACAAAGTGGAATGTGTATGTATGGATGTATGTATGTATGTACGTATTTATGTACGTATGTATGTATGTATGTATGTACGTATGTATGTGTATGTGTGTGACAAAGTTGTGTGTGTGAAAGATGGTGTGTGTGACAGTGACGTGTGCAGACATCTTTTTGCCAGACATCTTTTTGCCAGCGCTGCAATGTCATCTGCCCTGCATGCAGCAGCACTGCGGACCTGGAATGGGCTGAATGAGGTGTTCCATGATCTTCTGTGCTCCATGTGGTGCAACGAGATGTGCTACGTGACAGCCGCGCCTGTCCTACAGTCACAAATCCGACGATGATGACATCGAGCAAAGGTACCTGGTCACGAATCGGCGTCACGCGCGCCCAAACCACACCCAAGCGCGCCACCCAATGCCATGAGTGCCACGCCTGCCACGTAAAACCAAGTTGGATGCGAGTTTGTGCCACGCCTGCCACGTGAAATGAAGGTGGATGTAAGGTTGTGCCACGCCTGCCACGCAAAATGGCGCGGCGTCACGCGCGCCCAAACCACACCCAAGCGCGCCACCCCATGCCATGAGTGCCACGCCTGCCACGTAAAACGATGGTAGATGCGAGTTTGTGCCACGCCTGCCACGTGAAACGAAGGTGGATGTAAGGTTGTGCCACGCCTGCCACGCAAAATGCCGCGGCGTCATGCGCGCCCAAACCACACCCAAGCGCGCCACCCAATGCCCTGAGGGCCACGCTTGCCACGCGAAACGAAGGTGGATGCGAGTTTGTGCCACGCCTGCCACGTGAAACGAAGGTGGTGTAAGGTTGTGCCACGCCTGCCACGCAAAATGCCGCGGCGTCACGCGCGCCCAAACCACACCCAAGCGCGCCACCCAATGCCATGAGTGCCACGCCTGCCACGCGACACGATGGTAGATGCGAGTTTGTGCCACGCCTGCCACGTGAAATGAAGGTGGATGTAAGGTTGTGCCACGCCTGCCACGCAAAATGGCGCGGCGTCACGCGCGCCCAAACCACACCCAAGCGCGCCACCCAATGCCATGAGTGCCACGCTTGCCACGCGAAACCAAGGTGGATGCGAGTTTGTGCCACGCCTGCCACGTGAAACGAAGGTGGATGTAAGGTTGTGCCACGCCTGCCACGCAAAATGCCGCGGCGTCACGCGCGCCCAAACCACACCCAAGCGCGCCACCCAATGCCATGAGTGCCACGCCTGCCACGCGACACGATGGTAGATGCGAGTTTGTGCCACACCTGCCACGTGAAATGAAGGTGGATGTAAGGTTGTGCCACGCCTGCCACGCAAAATGGCGCGGCGTCACGCGCGCCCAAACCACACCCAAGCGCGCCACCCAATGCCATGAGTGCCACGCTTGCCACGCGAAACCAAGGTGGATGCGAGTTTGTGCCACGCCTGCCACGTGAAACGAAGGTGGATGTAAGGTTGTGCCACGCCTGCCACGCAAAATGCCGCGGCGTCACGCGCGCCCAAACCACACCCAAGCGCGCCACCCAATGCCATGAGTGCCACGCCTGCCACGCAAAATGCTGCGGCGTCACGCGCGCCCAAGCCACACCCAAGCGCGCCACCCAATGCCATGAGTGCCACGCCTGCCACGCGAAACGATGGTAGATGCGAGTTTGTGCCACGCCTGCCACGTGATACGAAGGTGGATGTAAGGTTGTGCCACGCCTGCCGCGCAAAATGCCGCGGCGTCACGCGCGCCCAAACCACACCCAAGCGCGCCACCCAATGCCATGAGTGCCACGCTTGCCACGCGAAACGAAGGTGGATGCGAGTTTGTGCCACGCCTGCCACGTGAAACGAAGGTGGGTGTAAGGTTGTGCCACGCCTGCCACGCAAAATGCCGCGGCGTCACGCGCGCCCAAACCACACCCAAGCGCGCCACCCAATGCCATGAGTGCCACGCCTGCCACGCGACACGATGGTAGATGCGAGTTTGTGCCACGCCTGCCATGTGAAACGAAGGTGGATGTAAGGTTGTGCCACGCCTGCCACGCAAAATGGCGCGG